GGGGGGGGGAGGGACATTATTTTTGTTGTTATTGTTGAACAGTATTTTTTGTTTGAACATTACAGTACAGTACTTGATTTTTCGGGGAAGGGAGCATTATTTTTCCTCAAATCAGCCTCTGCCTTTTCAAGGAGAGAGTTATCTGCATTTTTGGAGAAAGGCAGCCATCCACCAAACTTACACATTACTCTGAAAGTCAAACAAGTCATCCCTTTAGCTCTTTGCCGATTTCCTTTGTTCTGCATGTTTGGAAAAAGGCAATCATGTCACCAACAGGAATACTGAAGATGCAGACAGAATACAGATCTTGCCTGCTTCAAAATGTATGTTCAGCCACTTCCCTGCAGAGAGTTACAGTGATGTTGTTTCTATGCTTCAAGGTTCTTTAATTTTTAAAACATTGCCAGCGAGCCCATTGCAAATCCACTTTAAATCCACATATGGAGTTTGTTTTTTAAATAAAGATATTTCTTCCCACTACACATCCCCAAATCCCTCAGCCAGCACACTTGCCTAGATAGGCCAACTAGGGTTTCTTGAAATTGTATTCAAAATATGTATCCTGCTCCCCTAAGCTTTGCTAACAAGTACTGTACTTAAGAACATTCTAACAATATCCCTGGCCAGTGTAACTGGCCGGCCAGCCATGTGTATTGTTTTAATCAAACATTAGTTTTTTTGTTGGCACTATGAAACGTTTGCTTACTCACCTGAGATGACGGTGTCTCCATTGAGGTACAGGGCCATCCCCAGTAGCATCATAATGCCAAGGACTAGAATATAAGGTCTCCGCCTGCCCCAGCGAGAAGAGTAGTGGTCACTGGCCGACCCCACTACAGGCTGGAGGACAAAGCCAAGGATAGGGCTAATGAGCCAAACGAGGCTATAAAGGCTTTTGGGGAGGCCCACGCTGAGAAGCACAGGGGTGACGAATGCCGCTTCCACGGCGTAACAGAACTCTCGGCCAAACATGACCATGCTGTGCATAACCAACCTCCCGGTTGCCTTCTTGGGGGGCTCCACGGAGGCAAAGGGGCCTCCTCCTGCCAAGGACTGCAACATGGTGTCTTCTTTCTCACTGTTGCACTCCATGCTGGCAACACCCATCTCGCAGGGAAGCCGCTTGACCAAATCCTGCTTAGTTGGAGCCTCTGGGGTTTGAGAGCGAGCTCTGTCAGGCATAGATCTTAGGTTCCTCTGTTGAAAAATGGGGAGGGGGAAGGAGCTGGAGGAGGGGCAGCCCACATACTTTTCATGGCTCTGGGATCACAAGTTACACAAGGGGGGGAGTGTGGGAGGAGCAGTAGGCATCTGTGCATGTGTGCCAGCAATGGAAGATTAGCACAATTAGAGTTATTGGCTAATTGGAGAGTTCCCAGCTCTCTGTAACTGGAGGATTATCTCTGAGACGGCAAAAATGTGTTTCATGTGTGTTTAGAATTCTCATATACCAGGATCCAAAGCCAGCTTGAAAGCAAGGCTACTGTTTTTTGCTTTAGTAGAATAGCCCCAGGGGTTGGTTTTTCCCCCCCCCCTTTTCTTCCCATTCACCAAGCAGCCAGGATCACAGCATGTGGTGGGGAGGAAAATCACTACTTTTTAAGACAGTTCTGTACGGGTTAGAAAGATTCTCATTGTAATCTCAAGAAGGTCACTTTTCCATCAGGAACAAGGAAGTACAATGTTTCTTCTCCTCGTTTTCAGGCCATCAGGTTTTTGTACATTTTGAAGCGAGTGGAAACAATTGCATGAAATTTGCAGGCCCTCCTAAGGTATTTAAAACGATATGTCTTCATGGCCAGTCGTTTTCAGATTGGGGCTCCTATTTTATTGGTTTCTAGTATAGTGTTCTATATAGATCATTTAGGTTGATCTTTCTGTCTTCCCAATACTTTATGCAATTAAGAAAAGCTGCAGTTTTCCAGCTAGATTTGTGTTTCCAGAGATACATACATATTGACAGCAATATATGGAGATGAGAAATAATAGACATTATCAGCCCTTTTCTTCCAGCTAGTTATTCCCCGCTTTCAACATGGTATAATAATGTTGGAAATTCTTGGAAGCGTATTAGAATCTTCGGGACTGTGTTCAATTGTTTGTTTTAATGATTATTGATTTCTTTAGAGTAGCAACTGTTGTCCTCGTACAACTTTGTGTAGAGCAAGTCAAGCTCTTAGCTCCATCTCCTTGAAAGTTTACACTTTCAGGCAATGGAAGTGTTGATGAACAGAAGATTATTCAAGGTAGAGTCATGATGATTACTCAAGAAGATTGTGAAAAATACTGTTATGATTATAGCAAGTAAGAGTGTATTTTTAAGAGGGAGGGTTAAATCAAGTCTTTCTGAATAGTGATTTAAATAAAATCTTCCCCAGCATCATAAGAGTGACGATTAGCCCTGTCACTCCTGCCACTCACCCTCATTTGCATGAGCCTATGAGAAAGCTGGAGAAGTGGAGTCAATTGATATATGATGCTTAGCTGAAGGAGGAGCAGTCAGATAGGGATGAGATAGGGACTGGTTAGGAAACTGATGAGATAAAAAGAACGGGCAAGAAAGAGATAGGTTGGTGATGTGTTTATGAAACTGTAAAAAAGAGAAACAAAGTAATGAGGGAACTGATAAGCTAAGACCAATGAACTCTGATTACCTGAAAGATTTCTAATACTGTTTGAAATACTGTTTCACTTCAATAAATAGGTTGTTTGTTCTGTACTCACAGTCATACATTAATGGTAGTGGATTCAGACAATCCATTGGTGGCAGCATAAAGGGAATGCACCTGTGGGCCTTTGTGAGGGAATAATAAACAAGGGGCATGGGGTTCGCAACAATAAGTAAATCGATTTTCATCATCTCTTTGAACTCCTGTCTCCTGTCTGCCATGTCACCCTCTCACAAGCTCTTTATATAAAATGTATCACATAGACACATATGTACGTATATACAAATGAACATGAACCTGCCACTAGAAGATACAGCAAAACAATATTCAACATTTTAAAGTTCTTTCACTCTTTGTGGCATTGCATTCATCTGAAGTAAAACTCAAGGTATAAATCAGGGATAGGGATTATGTGATGCTCCAGAGGCTTTTGAACAAAATATCCCAGGAAGCCTCCCACCCCTGCCTTAAAAATATGTATGTGTTTGCTGTACTGAAATGATAAAAACCAATATTCAAAACATACTAAAAATAAATTTCATACTTTATTTGTAAGATTCAAAATTATATTTACACATTTTATAAAAACCTTGTCTTTAGGTAATTACAGTATAAATTACGAACTTCAGGTTTACCACACCTGGACAGTTAATTTGTAGAATACTGCATTAAATTACTTTTAAAGAGAAAATTGTTTGTTTTTTAGGCTATAAGCCATAAGAAAATCACACAATAAACTGCTAACCAATGGAAAATTCAGAGAGTATGACCAGCATTTGTTAAACACAGATCTGTCACAGGGATCATTAATTAAAACAATGCAAAATAAAATCATTCATCCAGCTAGGCAAAATCATTTACTTTGCCATAAGGCTAACATTAATCTAAAGGAAGGTCTTTTTTGCTGGAGATGGGATGGACCAGAGCCCACATCCTTTCAATAGACATGATGTACTCTCTGTTATAAGGCAATTAAACAAGTCATGTGAGATGCTCCATTTCATCTACTCCACAGACATACAATGATAGGAAATCACATTGCTTTAGCTCTAAAAGAGCTTTTCTGTATCCAGCACTCTTCAAGCATTTTGGCTTTCAGCTCTCATTATCCCTTATTTTAGCTCAAACTGATAGGAACTGCTCAAACTGATAAGAACTGCAGTCCAAAGTATCTCAAGGGTACTAGACTGGGGAATTCTGCTCTAGAGAAAAGCTTGTTAATGGAACCAATGAAGGATTTTTACCTCTGGGTTATAAGCAAAAACTTTAAAGGCATGTATAGAAATACTATCCAAATATAAGGAAAGAAATTAACAGAAAAAAACAAATAATCCTCCACAAGGGAGATCAGTAGTACAAGCAGCTGTTACATGAGGAATAGCATGATTCTGTGTGCTAGCCCTGCACGATGATCCACATGGGTCAGTGTGAATCTTGTCTAGATAGGGGTTTTTTGGATATCCTGAATTGCATAGTTCTCCAGAGATACTAGCAGAGAAAACGAGGAGCAATATACTTCCAAACAAAAATATCTACAGGTACTGGAATTTTTTGGGGGAGGGGGAAGGAGAATCCAAGTAATAATTAGCATCATTTCAATGATCTTCTGGGGGGAAAAAGAAGGAGATGCAGAACAGTGTCCCAAACTTCCCCTTCTACAGCACCAACTGACTCAAAACTATAATTTGCCAGTGTAAGATTTTTGGGTTGCAGTTGTGCATTACAAATTAGCTTTTGGATTGTTGGATTCAATTACTTTGAGAGAATGAAGTTTTGAAATCTCTTCCTTGGTAAAACCGTACTCCAGGAGGACCTCTTTGGTATGCTCTCCTATAAAAGGATCCCTTTTGAAAGAAGGAGTAGCTGGGGTCCTGGAAAAAACAGGGGATGGCCTCGGACTTATCTCCTCCTGATCGTTTTTAAGAAAGGAGCCACGCTCTTTGTTATGAGGATGTGAAGCAACATCATCAAACGTCAACACTGGTGTCACACAGGCATCTGTGTCATCAAAAATTTCACACCATTCTGCTTGGGTTTTCTTTATGAATATATCCGCAAACATCTTCTTCATTTCAGGCCAGTCAGAGAAACTCATCTGGCTGGGAAGTTTACGAGAATCTAGTCCTAGACCTGAAGAAATTAAGAAAATTGACCAATGTTATTAGCTCATTTTCATTTAAAATGCTTTTTATTACTAGCAGCCAGAAAATAGGGAGGTCAAAAAATGTTATGGCCACACATCGCATGGTTAGCTATGAATGCACAATGCACAAATTCAAAACTATCAAGATTTTGCAGTTACTAGTCTCCTGATAAAAAGCATCATAATAAGCAAAGAAAGAACTCCAGCTTCCTTCTGCCATTCATCCTCATTTGAATGGTTCTTTCACAGATTACTCACTGTTGTCCTGCAAATTACCAACACCACTTTAGCAGAAAGATCAGCTCTGATATTTCAGAAGTGTAAACAAGGCTGTGACCACACGAGGAAAGAGGTCAGAATCTGAACCACTTGTGGAGGTATTTGGTGCAATCTATTTCCCATCAATCACACAACATACAGGAAAATGCACTGCAACATGATTCTCATCAAGGTGGACCTTTTTGGTTCAGTTAGAGAGATACAGTACTATGTTTGGAGGCTGGACTGGATCAATTCCTTGGCAGATGGAAGGGTTGCTTTAAGGAAAATCACGCCTATCAAAGTGACATTTTTCAGTGCAATAAGGCATGTGCCTTTTCAGGTATCTGACTGCACCCAAGTGACCATATACGTGAAAAAAATGCCTCGTGACTCAATAATAATAAAATTTACTGCAGCATTAAAGTTCTTAAGCTTGGTAACAGATGTGTAGAATAATGCTGTGGGCAAAAAGGAATCTACCGAATGAAAGCTTATGTCACATTAATATTGTTGTTTCTAAGGGCACTCACTTGGAGTCATGCTTCTGCTCTGCACACTGAAAGGCTCTGGTTCCATTTTCAGAACTTCTAGTTAAATGAGCAAAAGCTGGTTTGTTAAGTTTTTGTGACTTCCTTGTCTTGACTCTCCACAGACCTTCAACTTTGTAAGTTCCCTCCTCTCTACGTACATTTTGCATACTTTATAATTACTTCTGCAGTTTACAGCTGCCTGATTTAATATTACTTCTTCATTATTAAAAGATATTAAATATATCCGAGAAAAGAAAGCTAAAGCAGGGGCCAGTGGACAAGAGGAGGATGCTTCCTGAATTCCAGAGTTTAGCTTTTCACTCTGCAGAAATTTCAGGCATGTCCTAATGACTATTTTCACAAACTGGACATTGCCAGTATTTGATCCTTACGTGGTGGCGCTGTGGGCTAAACCGCAGAAGCCTGTGCTGCAGGGTCAGAAGACCAAGCAGTCGTAAGATCAAATCCACGCGACGGAGTGAGCGCCCGTCACTTGTCCCAGCTCCCGCCAACCTAGCAGTTCGAAAGCATGCAAATACGAGTAGATTAATAGGGACCACCTTGGTGGGAAGGTAAACAGCGTTCCGTGTCTAAGTCGCACTGGCCATGTGACCACGGAAGATTCTCTTCGGACAAAACGCTTGCTCTATGGCTTGGAAACGGGGATGAGCACCGCCCCCTAGAGCCGAATATGACTGGAGAAATAGTCAAGGGGAACCTTTTTTTTTTATGTTGCCCTGTTCCATAATCAATTTACAGGGCCAAAAGGAAAAATGCATGATATGGAGTTTGCACATGGAGTGTGTCAGGTCTGGAATAAAAAGGACCTATTGCATTATGCAGGACAAGGGAACCTGTGACCATGCAAATGCTGCTGGATTCCAACTCCTGTTATCCCAGCTAATACGGCCAACAGAATCAGGAACTGCAGTATAACATCTGGAAGACTCCAGGTTATCAATCCTGTATGTTTAATGTTCTGTTGGATAGAATACAAACAGATAGCAGGAAATTAAAGCTGCAATTTCTCATGGATACATTTTATGATACATAAAATATTTCTCATCTAAGCATTTGTTTTGATGACATTTTCAAGCTAAGCACTTGAATATTAAAATATGTGTTTAATTTTACACAAATTATGATGTCCAACCTAAAATTGTATACATATGATGATCCCATTAAAGCAAGTCTATTACAGCGGAAAGTAATCTGACAAGTTCTGTTCCCAGATATCTCGTAAAGTATCATAAGAAAACAGACAAGTTTAATACAGCACATTTATTGGCTAAGAACCACTGCAGTGTTCCAAAGCTGTAATAAAAATAAACCATTTAAGGGCTTTAAACCTTCAGCTTTTATTTTTATTCCTTGGTATAGTGGCTTCACAGAAGCTGGAATAAGGGGAAAATATCTCTGGCAAAAAAATTTTTAATTCATTGGGAAGATACCATTTATGGACTACCACGTCGAAGGATAGCAGACAAATCACTGTGTGCTTTATGTTTTTATTTAACTGTTATTTTATTCAGCTGGCTATAACTGTTTCACTGTTTTATTATTGCTTTGCATTAAACTTTTATACCAATGTTGACATTACCTTATAGGATTTTCCTGATGAGAAGGTAGAACACAAACATTTTAAATAAACAAAATAAATACAATGAATAGTATTCCTTTGTTTATTTGCTAAAATATTTTAAACCTCTGTTCATCCTTATATTTAGCAGCTCAGGGCACAAACATAGTTAAAATGCTAGAATATAATTTAAATGATTAAAAAATAACTCCCAAACTCATAAAATCATGCCAAAAAATCATAGAACCACCAAGTTGAAAAGATCATAGCTATAAAAGAAGGAAGAAGGATTAGGTTGGAAACAAAGCAATTGTTTTATTGGTGCCAATTGCACTACATGCAACTGGCACTAACCTTGCAAATGTTTGGGTTCCAAACATGGGGAAGGCATTACACAACTGGAGACCTAAAACTAAGAATGCTGTCTGCCAACATACCTGGAGAAATGTCCCCGCTGATGATCTTACATTAGGAGCAGATTTTGCCTAAATCCAAATTTCAGTACCTAAAGGAGATTGCTCTTGTCCACACAGAGATGACACTTCTTCAGGTACTGAAAAATTGTTTTATTTGTAGTCCGCCCTTCTCCCAATAAGGGGACCCAAGGCACCTCACAATGTTAAAAAGAATATAAAAATATAATAAGTTAAACATATAAATAAACTATGTGCTAATTAAAATACAATTGAATAAGTAAAAGCAAGTGGTCATTACAAACTATCCCCTGTTCCCGATCATACAGTCTGCTTAATCCTTACATCAACTCGCAGTGCTTAAAATATGCCAATTCATTTAAGCACCGAATGAACAGAGTCCAAGTTGATTCAAGATAAAGAGATGTTTGCACAATTATGGAATCCTTCCAAGGGAGTATAAAAAAGAAAAAAAACTGTTGATGTATAGCCAAATGCAAGACCTGTTCCAAATGTCATAACATGGTATGCAAACCAATATCTTTCGGGAGAGCCTGTTGTTCCAAAACGTATTTAGGAACAAGTTTCAGCATTTGCACAGGTGCAGCTGGATCCAAACATTGAAGCAAATCAGTCTATAATGTAAATGTACCCCAATGATGTATGAATAAATAATATAAAGTATATTGGAAAATATCTATCACTAGAAAAATCTTTGAATGAGATTGTGAGTATAACCTGGCTACTTCACAATACCTCCTGCCCACTGGATTCCAACCACAAGAGGAGACATCTTTACTGAACAACAATACAGTAACTCTCTTTTAACTTAACTGTACAGCTTCAGCAAAGAGGGTGGGCAGACATCTGCTCATGAGATGGGAGTCCTGAACTTCAACAATTAAAAAGATAGAACCATTTGGCAGCATTAGTAGTAAACAATTCCTCCTAAGGTTTTGAATTAGCACAATCTGAGCAGTTATTTTGCTTTCTTCCCTTTGCATAGCATCCTTTTTACTTACCCTCTTTGCTGAAGGGTAGCAATACAATTGGTTCTTATCAAGTAGATATTGCTATGAGTGTACAAAAGCCAGTTCCAAAATACAGCTCTACTGAGGCATTTTAGAGCAGTCTCCTGGTCACTCCTAAACAAGAGGCTTTGTTTTTGCATGGCATTTAAAAAAAGAGAGTGGCGTGTCATTTACAGGCAGCCAAAATCTACCCTGTTTAAATTAAGCATTGCCTCAGACGTTTAAAAAATCCCTAATTCCATCCAAGAGCAGTTTCTTTTATTTATTTATTTATTTATTTATTTATTGGATTTATATACCGCCCCATAGCGCTACAAGCACTCTCCGGGCGGTTTACAATTTTAATTATAAAGGCTACACATTGCCCCCCCAGCAAGCTGGGTACTCATTTTACCGACCTCGGAAGGATGGAAGGCTGAGTCAACCTTGAGCCGGCTACCTGGGATTTGAACCCCAGGTCGTGAGCACAGTTTTAGCTGCAGTACAGCGTTTTAACCACTGCGCCACGAGGCTCTTTGAATTTAGCACAGGATTCCTGACATTCCACCCCACTTCTGTCACTCCTTTGAAACATGAATAACTTTGCAGCAGATAGCTTTAGCATTTTAAAACTCATTAACTTTCCTTTGAAGCAAAAAAAGCCAAAAAATAAACTGCCTGTAATGCTAATTAGATTGTTACTGAGACATTTTAAACATTATTTGAAAAAACAATTAAGAGATATATTACAAGTTGGCATAAAACTTAGCATTCTAAATTATAACTTTTAAAACAGCAATCATTATTTAGAAACAGGTTCGCTTACTAATTACTTTACCCTTTAGCAGAATTAGCACAGATTTCTGGAATTTCTTCACATTTATCTGGACAGCAAATTGATTTTTTTTCCTTTTAGAATGCAGATGCATGTTTCTTAGGTTTCTTTCGATTAAAAATACCTTAGTTACTTAAATAAACTCCTATCTGTCTGGGGAATCAAGAAATATAGTCAGAGTAGCCAAGTAAGAAAAAAAAACTACTGAGATTTGAACTTTAGCTAACATACAGTGATGCCTCAACTTATGAAGTTAATTGGTTCCGGAACTCAAAATGGTTGTAAGTCAAAGCACCATTTCCCACAGGAATGCACTGAAACACAATTGCCGTGTTTTTCCGTGTATAAGACTATACTTTTGTCTAAAATCTTTAGACTAAAAATTGAGGGTCATCTTATACATGGAAGTAAGCTGAGGAGAAAAAACAAGTGCAGGGAAAAGCAGGAATCAAAGTAATCCTGCAGGGCTTTGATCCCTGCTTTCCCCTCCACTTGCTAAGCCTTAGCAAAAGGAAAGCAGGAATCAAAATGCTGCAGGATTGCTTTGATCCCTGCTTTCCTCTCTGCTTGCTAAGTCCCATGGGGCTTAACAAAAGGAGGGGGGAAGGATCAAAGCAATACTGTGGCTGTATAAGGAGGAAAGGGATCAAAATGATTGTGCAGTCGTGGAATTGCTTTGATCCCTTTTCCCCTCCTTTTGCTAAGCCACGCGGGGCTTAGCACAAAGGGAGAAAGCAGGGATCAAAACTATCCTGCAGCACTTTGATCCTTTTTACCCTACATTTGCTTAGCTCCACTTAGAAAAGCCCCACTTTGAATTAGAAAAGTGGGGGTATCTTATACATGGGAGCTTCTTATACACGGAAAAATACGGTAATCCATTCCGGCCGAAGGAAAAAAATCACCAATCCCCCCACCAAAAAACAAACAAACAAACAAACAAAAACTGTAAGACCCATCGGAAACATGATTAATCCATTCTGGCCAAAGAAAAGCAAAGCAAAGCAAATCGACACTGCAATATCCTTCGGAAATATCATAAAAGCAAAGCAAAAAGCAAACAGACACTGCAAGACCCTTCGGAAATGCAAAAAAAAAAAACAAAGCAAAAAGCAAGCAGACACTGCAAGGCCCATCGGAAATGCAAAAAAAGCAAAGCAAAAAGCAAACAAACCCTGCAAGACCCATCAGAAATGCAAAAAAAGAAAGAAGAAAAAGGAAAAAAAACTAAAAAGCAAACAAACCCCACAAGACCCATCGGAAATAGGGAAAAAACCAAAAAGCAAACAACCCTGCAAGACCCGTTGGAAATGCAAAAAACCCCAAAAAACAAAGACTGCAAGACCCATCACAGCATAGAAACATAATCCCACCACCCAGCACAAACCCACGTTGCACAGCCTACCGAGAACAGTTTTTAAAAAGCAGAAAGCAGCACCTTATCTTAACAGGCAGTCCAAAGCCTCCTCTGATCGCACACTGTCTAACTGTTGGGGCAAAAGAGCTACAAAAAAGCAGCCTCTTTGCCATCAACGATTAGCAATTTGAATTCCTCGCTTTTTTCCCTGCTTTTTAAATAGTATAACGGGAAGCTCCGGTTGCAAGTTGAAGCAAAAGTTTGCGGCCGGAGCTGGTTGTAACTCGAAATGGTCGTATATCGGGACATTCATAAGTCGATGCATCACTGTAGTTGTAATAAATTTGCTGAACGGTCTTGGGAAAAGGCCTTTCAAGTTTCTGTAAAATGGGACTAGTATCTGTAAGATTTTAACAATGAAGATAAACATACAAAATAATTTGGAGATGACATAGCTACAAGAAATATCATTACTATCTTATTACAGTGCAACTGGCAGTACTGAAAGCTTCTTTTCTTTTTTTAACCCATTCCAGAGGTAGACCAACTTACCACTAATTAATTGCGCATAGAACTGTGGTTCAAGAGCACCAACAGCCATGTATTTTCCATCTGCAGTCTTGTAGGTTTCATAAAAAGGGGCACCACTATCCAGCAGGTTCTCCCCACGAGGTCTATTCCAAAGGCCTATGTTTTGAGATTTCCACAGGAAAGAACTTAAGTATGCTGTACCTTCTACCTGAAAGATAGAATATAAAAAGCAACAGGTAACATCATAAGCAAAAATAATGTTGGTAGCAACAGAACCATTTCCATGCTTGAGGCTCCTTTTGGTGACTGAGGTAAGCCGGCTAAACTAATGACAAGCACCACTGCCTTTGCTTAATGTCTTCCTGAAAGTATAACAGTCAGAAAGTGTTTTGAAGTTTTGCCCATAAGACTCTAATTGTTTCCCAGATTAATTACATTTCCTCTGGATAGTGTGAGTATCCCAAAACTTCTTTCAGTTTCATTACATTCTTTGCCTGAGCCACAGATTCAGCCATGAGCAAGACATTCTTCAATTTAATATTACACTATGAGAACTCCTTCCATCTGTCATAACTATAGGCCCTTGGCTATGGTCCCAGGGAATACATCTGAAGGCCCTCTCAAGATCACCTGGAAATTCCCTCCCAAGATCGTTAATGCAGATCTTTTTCCCAGGTTGCACACAGTCACCAAGAAGTCTTCTGCTGTGGCTTTTTTACAACCTCCCTTGTAAAAAGAAAAGAAAAGAAATGGGGAAAGGAGAGAAGCGTTGATGTGTGGAGAGGGAAAGAATGTCCATTTGCTGGATCCACAGTACCCCCAGGCTTTAATTGTGCACCCAAGATGTAGTGAAATTTAGATGTGCCTCACAGCATGTCTAAGCCCTCTCCTTCCAAACAAGCTCTCATTTGTTTGCACTGCAAAGTTATTTTTAACCCGAACTTTGAAGTTACTTTAAGAAAGCTACTCCTCCAGAACTTTCCAGCTAACAAACCTAGTAAGAGTTTGTAATCCAAAAAGTAACCATTCCCAGTTCTAATTTTGCTAAATGCAAAACCCATGCCCCCATGGAAAAGATAAAGAGCCAAAAATTGGCTCCACCAGTACCTACAACGTTGCCTGCATGAGCCCAGCAAGCAATGAACGAATCAGAGGCTGAAACACTGGAGCATCCTTTTTATCCATCTTTTTGCCTTTAGGACTGCAGGTTTAATGGTAATTTAACTTAGGGATAAGAAAAGACATCAATGTACAGAGAAGGATTCTGCACTCAAATTAGAAAAATCCTCAATGGTAGCACACATATTTAGTCTGGTCCTTGATTAACACTGTGAGAAAGCGCACCATGTGCCTATTTCTCCAGATGTTATATTTTATTCCAAACTCAGTAGCACTCCCTGCTCAGGTGAAAAAGAGGCGAAAAAGAAAATTGTATTACAATGAGCTTATTCATTTTCCCCTTTGTGCGCTTTTTAAAAATTGCGCTCTTGCCCACTAGTTGTTTTTGACAAATTCTGAACTAATACCCTAATTAGTGATAACCAAGCATTTTTCACTCAGCTGTTTTCCTGTATCTCATTCAGAGCACTCTTCTAATCCTACTTTCATTTCTTGCTCTTTTCTCTTCTTGTATGTTGAACTGCTATTCTTTTATTGATGTTCTTGGGGATCCATTTCTTCTGCTTTGGTTCTTTTTTTTGTATTTGTTTAAAATTAAACATTGATCTCCTCTAATTTTGTGTAAGTGGTTCTTACTAACAACACTCTGAAGTGGTAGCCATGTTAGTCTGTGCAAGCATTTCAGACAAGAAGCAAAACAAAATCAAGAACAAAAAATAAAGAAGACAAAAACTCTGTGGCACATTAAAGACTAACTGCTATATTTTAAATTGTAAGTCTTCACGGATCAAGTTAACTTAGACATAGGAGTGAGACTACATGACAACCATTTATACATGGGCCCAAGAGAAACAAGCTGCAAATTTTGTGAGTCCGTGCTGCATTTCACACCTAGTAATGACTTAAGACACCCTGACTTAAGTATGTGTATATATTTTATCTCAGCTCTCTTCCTCTGGATCTTTGTTCTGTAATGTTTCTTCTCAAAAACAGTAACGTTCTTATCCTGTGAGTAGTGGCTGTGTAGACTGTAATATCCCTGTACAGTACTGCCACTTCTGATGGCCAATATATGTCCATGAATTATTTTGCACTAATATTGTCCTGTTTGTCCTATGTAGAGTGCAGAGGAGAATTGTTGGCAAAAGATGGCATAGTTCACATTAGCAGAGTAAGAAGTAAAAGTGTCCTTGATGTTGTGTGTGACATTACTAAATCCTATAATTGTGTCACCAGAGTAAATGGGGAGGTAGAGCTAGAATTAAGGTTTGTAGCAGGGTATCACCCCCTTGCTACATCAGTGTTGTGCAGGTTGTTGGGTGTCAATTAGAGATAGGTATGAACTGCGGTTTGGCGCACTAAGCCTACAGGTGTTGTGTGGGTGCCCCAGATTCGCTGTCCCGCCTCATCCTGCACATGCCCACTCAGAAGAGGAGGCTGCCCAGGGAATCCTGGGGTACTGTCTCTGAGAGGGTACCTGCCACAAGAGGCGGGGTGAAGAATTTGGGGTGCCCACACAACACCTGTGAGTCTGATCTATCAAACCACTGTCAATAGTTGCTTGGAATTGCGGGGTTATCTTTAAGCAAGTATAGGTCTGCCACAGAGAGCATTCTGTCTGTTTCTCATTCTGGTTACTGGAACAGTTTGTGGTCTGTCATCATTATTGATCTATTTTCCTTTTTATGTTTTTTTATATTATGGATTGCAAGTCCCCAAGAAATGTTTGGATAATAGTTATTTTTCATAACATGTTGAACCCTGGGTGCATTTTTCTTGTTAATGTACACATTAATCGAATGCATACCATTGAATGCAAATATTTTGCTGACCTTGTTCTTTCTTGCAGCTCATCAGCTTATTCTGATGCCATATCCTTGACACCATTATTTCAGCTTCATGTATTCATTTTATTCTTAAAAAAGAAAAAAACTTTGCTTTAAAGCAAAACGTTATGGTTGAAACTATAAGCGAAAAGTAAGGAAATACAGTTAATAGATTGATCCTCTTTCCTCTCTTTAGAATGTGTGTATTAATGCAATCTTTTTGTACATTAACTTCTACTCCAAGTAAATACAAGAGATGAGTTCCATTCTTTGATTCCCTAAAGAGTGAAAAAAAAACCTATGCTCAGCTCAGATCATTAAACACTATGGCCAAAAACCTGTTGGGATTTTACACACCTGCAAAAGGAATCATGGAAGTTGTTGGAGTTAATGGCAGCTAATTGATGAGATGCCTGGTGTACATCTTGCCTACACATAAAATACCAAAGAGATTTGGCCAACAAGACTTCCTTCCCTCAAATACAGATTGGTTGAACTGGACCAGCATAGACTATGTAACTGTGGACAGGACTGTGCTGCATTACATAGTGCCAACTGTAGTGCCATCAAAAATTTACAAGTGTGTCTCAACGTGCCCATACTTTGGCGCATGTGTGATCCGCGATCTGAATTTCCTTATTTTAGAATGTGTATCTTCAACCATAACTTTTATTTTAAACAGATAGGTTTTTTCTTTTGGAGGAATTTTAGTGCTTTTATAATTTTAGGACTGCATAACATTGGGAAAAGAAAATATGCTTTACTAAATGACTTAAGAGAAAAATGTTCCAAAGCCTCTGTAAGCAAATAGTCAACAGAAATCTAATACTGTACTTTGGACTCTCCAAACCATTCTAATGGGATCCATATGGAAACCATTTCACTTATCCTTATAGAGACATGCCCTGTATATTACAGGGTGTTAATCACAGATGTGCTTCTCATAAGCAACTGGTACACTGCTCAAAAGTTTTGTTCAGAAAAAATATCCTAGGATCAGACATGTTCCATGCAAATCTTGGCTTATCCAAGAAGGCAAGGTTTAAAAAATAACTATTTTCACCCCATAACTGCCGCTCTAAACTGTCCACATGCATAAAAGGCACTAGATTTTCTAGACCTCAAGGCAGGATTATGAGGTAGAACTTCATCATCAGTGAATAACAGTTGTTACTAAATGACAGCCAAACAGAAAAAGAAAACTCAGTCTTCACCATTAGTTTTATATGGAGCTAACCTCTCATCAGCCATAACTACGCTGTGGCTAAAGTCAATCTAAAATTTACTAAACTTCACTTTTTCCCTACTTGCCTTCCCTCTATAAAATCCAGTGGAAATCTATAAAATCTTGTAGACTTTTGATCTAGTTTCCTTCCCCCCCCCTCTCTACTGTTATTCTTTTGCTTGTTCCTGGTGTTGTTCTTGCTTTTTTAACTCATGTTTTTGTTCCTTCATGCAAATTTTTTCTTTCATGGATATTTTGGCACACCATCTCCCTATTTTCATTCATGCTGGTCTGCACAGCTCTTATGGCAGATATCTTGTTCTGCACTTAATAATAGTGCCATTAACTATGTATTATCTAACATGTCTCCTGGTTTAAACTATATTGAACCGGATTATTTTTCCAATTTGATTTCTACATACTCATTTTTAGCTTGACATCTCTTCTTCAAATCAAATTACAAATACAGTGCATAATGACGATAATCTGTGCAGCAAAAATCGCTGCAAAGCGATTTCATTGCTATGCGATTAAAAAAAACCCATAGGAAGGCATTGAAACCCCTTCAATGTGTTCCAATGGGCTTAAAAATCACCTTAAAGCGAAAATCCTCCATACGGCAGCCATTTTCGCTGCCCGGTAAGTGAGGAATCCGTCCCAAAACACAGTGGGTGGCCATTTTTTTCCCAGCAGCCATTTTGGAACTGCCAATCAGCTGTTCTAAAAACATCGCTATGCGATAATCGGTAACCGAAACAGGGTACTGATCATCGCAAAGCGATTTTTTTCCTATTTAAAACATCGCAATGCGATCGCAAATTCTTCGTCGCTATGCGATTTTGTCATTAAACGGGGCGCCCGTTAAGCGAGGCACCACTGTAAATGTAGAGGACTGGCTAGTTCATAACTGACATGAAGATGACTCTTCCCTCGTTATATGTTCTTGGATTGCAGTGTTTACCATTTACAGTTGAATTTACAGATTAGACCAATAACTAGAATAACGTTCAAAGTATTTAACATCGTTTTGAATAGGAAGACTAACAGTAAAAACCCACAACAGCTTGTTATTTCAACTTAACAACAAACCTAACATGTTACCTTGTAATATTCCAAGCTTAATTTCTGTAACCGGATCATCCATGCCCAGTGCTTTAGCCAACATATATAAATATTGAGCAAGTGCCAGAAAAGATACTCTGGATGGAATTAAAACTTTAAACTGTTGCTTAATCTATACCAAACATCCAACAAAAGCATGAGTAGGTGTGCTGATTCTGAATATGCTCCATAAGTCTTCTGACAGAAGAACCTGAGGTCAAGAGACATCAAGAGATTTCCAAGGAATCATCTATCAAGGGATACCCAAATAACCAGCTAAGCCAGCTGCATTGCTCACCTAGCGACAGAGAATTTAGAGAATGCACAAGGGCATTACATATCCCCTGCTGAGGCTGCAAGTGTGTTAAGGTCCTTTTAGGCAGAAAGTAAAAATAATTAAAATAAATAAATAAGTCCCAAACACACAAAAGAAGACAACCTGAATTTTGAGATTAAGATATACAGTAGATATCATAGATACAAATGTAGGTGTTAAAAGCTTTGCACATAGTTCCATCTGCTTTTTAAGAGTTGGTACATTTTGTTTTTCAAAAATAAACTTACCATGCTTGAATCAATAACTTGCCCTTTTCCAGATGTTACACGTTCATAGAGTGCCATAACGATGCCCATCGCACACATAACACCACCACCAGCAAAGTCAGCCAAAAGATTGATAGGAGCATAAGGATTTTCGTCTTTTCTGCCAAGTTTTGACAACACACCTATATACAATGAAGTACATGTTTCAACGTGCATACGTAACATCTAATTATATAAATTTCCCCCATTCAGTTTTGAAAACCATACTGATATCTTCTACATTTAGATAGCTCTTTCTCAAAAGACAAACGGTTTCTCTCCCATTTCACCTTTGCCTAGCCAATCCACTGTACCTGGTATAGGAGTCTTACAAAAGAAGCTGTTGGAGGCCATGTAATGTGTAATCTAGTTAGCTGATTTTTGGAAAGAAGCTTATAATGCAAAACCTAGCATTATTCTTTGCCAAATAAACCACTGAATGGTTTACTTTTTAAAAAATTATAAGTAACTATCATTTCCTTTCTAATTAATAGGATACTTGATTTGGGTTTTTTCTTCAATTAAAATGTTTTTTCCTGGTAACCTGACTACCCAAAATATTACTAATCAGCAATCCTATGCACGTCTACAGAAATCACAACAGGGCTTTTCCCAGGAACACTAACAACTCCAGTCATTATTGTGGATTACTGGACATTGCAAGCAACACATCAGTCCTAACCAGCAACCTACAAAAGGCAAATATTGAGACTTGTGGATAAGGTTTATTTTCCTGATTAAATGGAATCAAGCACATCTACTGTATATGTACAGACCTCTTCACACATATGTACACATACTACCCTAACCATTTTGATCTCTGTTAATTTATATGAAGTTAATTTACATTTAAACTAAGAGAAATTTTGCTTTTAAAAAATGGCTGAAGTATTAACGTACCAGACACTGCCAAATAGTTGATGTCATGACCTGCCATCTTGGCATATTTTCCTGCATGGCCAAATCCAGTTAGCCTAGCATAGATGAGTTTGGGGTTATCCTGACAGAGAATATCTGGACCAAGACCCAGTTTTTCCAATACACCTAAACAGGGAGATAAAATTAACAAGTAGATCCATAAACATGAAAATACAAAAACAGTATGAAATCACACTCAGGTTGAACATTAAAGCAGAATTCTCACATGAACAAATTTTAATTGGCCTGACCAAGGTTTTTTAGCACTCAGGAGCCAGGTAGATATTTTGCTGCCTTTTTCTTTAAAGTTTTGAGAAAAGCAACATTGGGACAGGAGTAGAACAGCCTGGTATTTCCAATGTATGCTGTCTCCATGCCTCTCTGCATGTCTACACTGGAATATTCACATTTCTACTTCCCTGGTGCAGAAACATACATTCTGGAGGTGAGGTTAAGTTCTCCGAAGGGGAAAGGATGCAAAAGGCTGACTTCAATCTTGACAAACTGACAAAAAGCCAAAGCATTTTTTTTATGCTGCTTGCACTCTACGTGGCTTTGAGCACCTTATAGTGAATTACTGCTAGCCAAATTTCCACTCCCGTCACATTCTAGTAATTTAGGGGTGGAGGGTCCCATTAGTCGGACACCCAGTTTCCCCATTCGGTCTGTTAGATAGTCAATAAAACCCGGAGGAGGGGAGATCAATTTCAGTCCCTTTATTCGGCAAAGCAAAGCCACCAGTCCTCTGCATGCAGGCAAGGAGTGTCCTGCCCCACAGCCCAATTCCAGACATTTTTATATCCTTAACATCGCCCTCCTTCCCTGCACCCATTCCCCACCAGCCTTCTGCGGCTTTCCTGTTTTTCCACATTCCTGCAACCGTCCTTCCCGTGTACCTGCTATTCACCCCATACACCCTGTTTACTTCATGTTATCTCTAAAAACAGGTAAGGTTACACAAAATAGCTGTATGATACAAAATAGTAGTACATCTGTCATGCCCTTCAAGGGACTGTTGTTTAGTTGTTTAAGTTGTGTCCAACTCTTCCTGACCCCATGGACCAGAGCACGCCAGGCCCTTCTGTCTTCAGGAGGATTAATCTTTAAATCTTTAATTAATCTTCAATGGATTACAAATGGTTAATTGTTCTGTAGTCTCCTTCTGCTGCTTATGACCAGACTCGCTTCTTTCATGGGTTTTATGAGGCAAGCCGACATTTAGCACAGTTAAGTTCTCCTTCCCACCAACTAGTTCGGCTTCCTTTCCTACCAACATCCCAGCCATCCTATTCACAGCGCCTACTCCTCCTGACAGCCGGACGTTCGTGGCTGCCTTGGTCTGAGGTAACGCCATTCTCACGACCCCACCAATCGCCCGGCGGTGAAGCAAACAAGAGGTAAAGGGGGATGCGGTGTCAAGAGTTTGGGAGGTGCTGTGTTTAAATTCATTGCGAACGGTGCAACTGCAGGGCAAGGCATGCTTTTAAGAACACAAACGTCGGAGTAGTGCAACTCGTGTCTCCTGCTGAGCCCCTTCCCTTGGAAGGGCTGGGAAATCGAAAGTGGCTTCGGCGAAGGGGTTCGCCCGTAGCAAGGTGAGGCAGCAAGGGTTAATATACCGCTCCTCGTTCCTTGTAGTTTGCCCCTCAGGATCCCCTCCTCAGAAGACGCGCACTCCTAGAGGCGTGCAAAGGGGCGGGAGCAGCGGTCAGAAGGCGAGAAGGGGGGCGTGTTGCCCTGTAAACGGGGGTGGTGGTGGAGGAAAGCCAGAGCAACGCATGCCCCAGTTTTCCCCCCACAAGGGGTTATAGTCAGCCCAAACGGGAGTCTTCAGGAAGAGAGTCTCTGCACCCCAAAAAAATTCGGAATAAAGTGTTCTCCCTTGCTAAGCCTAGTAAAAGCGCCGCCTTTCTTCCACCCTCAGCCACGTAAAAGCCACCCCTCCCGCCATGCTTCTTCCTCTGATCCGAACAGGCGTGTATCCTTCCCGACCGACAAGCCCCGGATTTCGTCCCGCAGTCCACACGTGCGCCCACCCACCCCCTCCACCCCTGGCTTAAAGACGAACGGGAAGGCGGGCGGGCGGGCAGGCCAAGCGGCACCTATTCGGAAAGGGTCGATCAGCACGTCTGCCTTCTGACAGAGCCGCCTCAGCGTCGCAGGACCCAGCGGCTGCTTGAGATCCACCGCCAGCGAGCGCTTCCCGCGCCCCTGGACGTCCGTGGCCACGGCGGTGCGGGGCGAGCGATCGACGCGTACGACTTGCGCCCCGAAGTCGGCCAAGACGAGGCCGCAGAGCGGGGCCGGCGCTAGGCCCGCCAGCTCCAGCACCCGCACCCCGTGCAGCGCCATCACGACTGAGGAGGAAGGCCTCGGCAAGGGAGGAAAGACGCGACCAACAAGGCGGCAGGCCCCCGGCTGGTCTAACCTCCCGAGCCTGGCTTGTCGCCTCCTAGCGTGGGCTGAGTTTCCAGCGTCCGCCCGAAAGGCCTGGGCAGGAGAGAATCCTGCGGGTCGGCCGGTTTCACACATTGGGAAAGTAGGGCGTGGGTTAAGAGCCGCGTTTGTGGAGAAAGCGAGACACCGCAATTGCAATCCGAGGAAGCCACGCTCAATACACGGAGCGCTCTTCACTTCTGAAACATTCAGCTTGTACTAACCAGAATGGTGTTGGGCTTTTTTTACGTTGAAACAAGCAGAATCAAGCACGGCACAGGAGCGAGCAAATTGTAGGTCAAATGGATCCTGACGTTTTCCAGGGGAGAGCAGGGCACTCAGGTTTACCATTCCCCCCTTTTCTGGGAGCGTGGTGAGACTGTGCACCTTGGCTAAAGATACAGTACACAGGTGGGTCTTCTGGGAGGCATAGTGGGGAATTGAACTTCCAATCAATGGCTCTTTAACTCTCTGAGCTATCTACTGGGCCCCGTGGTTCCCTCACAATGAATTGCTTTGCTTGGAAAGGTCATCCATTTCTAATAAATACAGGAGAAATTACTAAATAGCTGTCTGTTGATTTGCACTGAAGTCACTGAGAGTACACTTCTCCCTTCAACAGGTTAGGGAGACCTGAACCCCGTGTAGTTCAAAATCGATGCATAACTCAACTACAAAGCATAATTAGTTCTCTCACACACACACATACACAACACACACACACAAAATCAGGGTTCTCCATAAGCGTACAGTCCTGTATGTAATGAGCCTTAAAAGTCCTAATTACTCCCCTCATCTAGAAGCTGAAATATAAATTTTGTTATTGGGGGCAAGTAGACCACTTTGACTTTGCCTTCAGTGTAGAGTTTATAGGGTTCTGGGTGGCCAGGGGCACAGTCTGTATTGAATATTTAATTATTGGGGGAAATATGTATAACCAAAACTGCTGCTCTGATCTGTGCAATTCAAGGGGAAAGTATACTGGCAAGATTCTAGTTTCACAGTCTAGACGTCTGCGAGCACAACATTGTCAGCAATTTGTCTCATGGATTTAAATGTGCACAGGCTTAAAATTCATAGAGGTAGCAACTACGTTAATTCGCTGCTGTTGAAAAAAAGTTCAACAGCTAAAAAACTGAGTGAAGTCAATCAGACTGCAGGTATATCATGCAATTTCTTTTTTCATGTATTGAAAGTGAAATTTATTTACAGTATTTATTTGACTTCTATACTGCCCATCTGGCTACCAAGGCCATACTAGATGGTTCACAATACAGTGAAACAACAGACAACGCTTTTAAGAAAACTGAACATAATAACTATGCAAAAAACCAAATTAGACCGATCAAATCAGGTACACAAAACAGCATAGGATAACTAAAAATAATTTAAAAGGCAACAGATAGGAGGGATATAAATAAAATAAAATAAAATAAAAATAAATAATGGAACAGATAGTATAAGCGCTGAAAAACTTGTGCGCTATGATGATGTAAACTCCGGGAAAGCCTGTCTAAACAGTGATGTTTTCAGAGATTGAAAATTCCCAGTGAAGGGGCCAGGCAAATTTTAGGCAGGAAATTATTCCAGAGGTGGGGTGGTAACCGCAGAGAAGGCCTGATTTATGGTCTTCTCTTTTTTGCCAGGTATCAACGTCCTAAACTGTTTAGGGCCTTGTACATCAGCATCATCACCTTGAAGCTCGCACAGAAACAAACAGGTAACCAGAGCAAGGCGGCCAAGGTAGGGGATATATAATGGTATTTCATCACTCTGTAATCTCAGTAATCTCATCACCATATTCTGAACCTGCTGAAGTTTCTGTAGCAGCCTCATGGGCAGCCCTTCATAAAGAGCATTATAGTGATCTAATTCCTAGACTACCAGTGCATGGACCAGTATGGTGAGAGATCCAGTGCCAAGGTAGCTGGGCAATCTTCCTTAAACGGAAAAAAAAAGCAGAATGGACCACAGACACTACCTGGGACTCCATTGATAGCGCTGGGTCCAGGAGTACACCCAGACTGTGAACTTCATCCTTAGCAGAGAGAGTAGCTTCTCCAAAAGAGAGGAAGGCCCTCAGACCGCAGACACTGGACTGCTGTCTTGTCCAGGTTCAGCTTCAGTCTTTTGTCCATCATCCCCAGCACAGCGTCCAGGAGGGACTCAAGGGACGGGAAAGCATTCATTGCAGAAGGGTGAAAGGAGAAAGAGAGCTGGGTGTCACCCACATATTGGTGACACAAAGCTCCAAAACTCCTGATGACCTTCCCTAGCGCCTCATAGATATTAAACAGCAATGGGGAGATGATAGAACCCTGTGGGACTCCACAACTAAGAGTCCAAGGGATAGACATGCACTCTCTGAGGATAGTCCTCTAGGAAGTGCCATCTCACTTTCATGCAAGAGCAGCTTCCATTTGAAATGCTGGGGTGAGGCTCCCCCATCTCAGTCTACAAGCATTTCCTTTCTTGTCTAAACAATCTGAAAAACTGGCCTCTATAGATGTCTTGCTTAAGAAAAGAAAGAAGAGAATAGAGGGTGTATGTTCACATTGTGCCATTGCATATAGTATGGAATGTTTAAATATGCTTTACACCCACCATTCTCAACCTTTTTTGGCCACAGCCATAAACACAATGTGAAATAAAAAGGCTGAATCAGGATTGTATAAGTTGCATAGCAAATCTTATAAGGTGGTATGTGAAGAATAGTTTACAGTCTGCAATCTCCTTCAAATGTGTCAGCCCCTTCCCGTGGAGCATACGCTTTATACAGTTGCTTCTAGTGGGAAAAGGCATGCAAGAAACTTTGTTGAATTTATTTTTGTTTGGTTTTTTATTGCAATGCAAATGTATTTTTTGCAGTTTAGACTTTGTCTAGAGCTCTGCTGTAGTATGTCGCTGTTTGGATCAAGCTTTTGGTGTTTCTGAAGTGCTTTGAAATATCCAATGTCGACTAGTTATTCAGCTTTCTGTGCTGATTGATATTTCTTTCTGCACAATATATTCACAAGAGACTTATACAAAAACAATTTAATTAGTAAAAGTTCAGTTTACAAAATAAGAACACTTCTCATGACAACAAATACAAAGGGGTTTCATATTGCTAAAAGCTAGGGTCCGAATACTGCTAACTAGAATAAATGATCGAATGGTTCTATGATTTTTAAAGCATGCCAAAATGTTGCTATTATACTGTATTCTTAAACATTATGTTCTTGACTGCTACCGCTTGAATAAGCTTAAACATAAAATATAATATACATTTCAATGCATATTCCTGTTAAGTCAAAGTACTTACATTTACAGTTTATACCGTTTCCCCAAAAATAAGACCTAACCTGAAAATAAGCCCTAGTATGATATTTCAGGATGCTCGTAATAAAAGCCCTGCCCCCAAAATAAGCCCCAATTAAGTGAAACCCCACCCTCCAGCATTGTGCAGCAACCAGAAGATGATATGACTGTAAAATAAAACGTCCCCTGAAAATAAGCCTTAATGCGTTTTTTGGAGCAAAAATTAATATAAGACCTTGTCTTATTTTCAGGGAAACACGGTACTTAACCATTCCAACCAGGAGCATGCAGTCTTATACTGTAGTCCATCTGGTGGCCTTCTTCAGGGGTTTTGGGGTCTTAAAGTTGGAGTTTCAGGGGAGGGAAACCCTTTTTTGGTCACAAGCCAGCTATGGGCAAAGTACCGTAGCAAGAGAAAGGAATGGTTGTTCTGGGTTTTTCGGGCTCTTTGGCAGTGTTCTGAAGATTGTTCTTCCTGACGTTTCGCCAGTCTCTGTGGCTGGCATCTTCAGAGGACAGGAACTTCACTGATAACAAAAGAGGAAGCATTTATGCACATGGGAGCCCCCCCCCTGTTATCTGTAATACCAGGGGTTAAAAGTGCTGTATTGGGAACAGATTGGGAGAGGCCTTGAACCTGCCAGCTCTAAAGCTCCCTTTCCCCACCACCCTCATACGCATCATGCCACAAAAGGACAAAAAAGTACACCGCCCATACATTTATTTTCCTTCCATTAGGACCAAAAAGAAAGGGAAACACCTCCAAAGGCCGAAACAGGAGATGTGCAGAAATGGACATTCAGCCTTCCCTTTCCCCTTTGACTGCTGCCACCAATACTTGAGAAATGGTGGCTCTCTTGCAGTTTTCCACTACCACCTTAGGATTACTATTTCTCATTCAGCTAAACCTACTTGTAATCACTCAGAGAGTGAAAATCAAGATTTGATAAATTATAGAAAGATCTAACATATTTTCCCCCTAAGATGCAGCTTCATGTTCAAGCTAGCAATAATTTTAATGTTGAGAAGTTATCTTTTAAAACTGTCTCAACTATTCAAATAAATGGTCATTATAAATTGATAATGGACATGTACAAAAGGTTAAAAAAAACCCAAGCAAACTGACAAATGGTTGGTTGGTCTTTGATACATTTGTCCCAATTAAGCCACTTTTAATTAATTTCAGGGGAAAAAATCACTCTATATGCCTATACTTGCAAGAAATCCATATGAATGAGGCCTCATAGTAATCTCTGCAGTGGGACAATGTTTAACGGCCTGTTAAATTCTCTGTAATAGGTGCTTAGTAACTACTTAAGTGTATGAGGACCAGATCAAGATGTGGTGATCCTAAATCACATGAAAACTCTGTATCAGAGGATATAATCAATTTGGACCAACTTTTCTTACTGTGTTCCATAGATACCAAAACGTCGGGGCCTATAAAGGCCCTGTGGTGTTAGCATAAGGCTATGTTGTTCTAAGGAATCTAGAAAACAAATAGCAGTTTCTGCTTTAGGAAACCATATTTCGGAATCATCTACTTGGTCTCAAAAAGAAGGAATCCTGCAAAAGTAGAAAAGCGCTGGTGATCTCCATGAAGTGCCCCATTGCCCATCCGCAGCCAAACTTCATCTCCCTTGGCGAGTTTAAGCACAGCACTGTTGCTTGATGAGTCTGCTTTTCCTTTTGATTCATAGCTAAGAATAAAGAATCAACAGAAGATGAACTTTGTGTTCTCAATATCTCACAATTGTTATATAAAACAAATGCAATGTTTTCCTAATGTGAACGAGGTCTGGCACTCTTGCTACTGCGAGTGTTGACGAGCAAGAGGTGGATGGCAAAAAGGTACAGCACCCATTTTCTGTTGCAGATTGTCATTTGCAGTTAACCTCAGCTCCAGGTACGTATCAATTTTCCTGCATTAAAAAAACAGTTCTCTGCTGGGCAGTGTGAGTTGGCTAGGAATGTTAAATTCCAGGTCACCATCAAGCAGCCTAATTTAAAGTTAATACTTTATAAAAGGTTATATTTATTTGTTTAGCCCAGGGGTCCCCAACTCCCGGTCTGCGACCCAGTACCAGGCCGTGGCCTTGGCAGGACTGGGCCGCCAAGACAGATCTCCCGCCCCGCCCCCCACGTGCACAGCTCCCCCCATGCAGGCATGCACCCCCTGCTAAACCGGTCCACAATGCCAAAAAATTTGGGGACCACTGGTTTAGCCCACCCTTGTTTATTTTGTGTGACAAAAGGACCTCATCGTGGTCTTTCATATAATTTGCAGCCTGATACTTCACTGAGTTTGGGATGTTAACTCTGGCCCTGTGTATATGTAGGCTACATGCTCTACTACTAGCTATAGCACTTTTTTTAAAAAACTGCAAATGCAAAACATCTACACATGCTAGTCAACACACCTGTATAAGCTGAAAACTGTATTGCCGTTATGCATTAGGTAAACATAAACTTCTTCAACGTCCTCATGCTTCATCATATTGAAGGTGAAGAAATATACCCCTGAAAACAATCATGCAGTTTATCAAATTGTACATATAAGACAGATGAGGCAGGATCATTCTTTGCCTAAAGTTTTTATAAGTCCTGTGTTACTTCCTCCCTATGCTTCAATCGACAGTTTGAATAACAACTAGGATCATCCAGACTTAGTATCCAGTGCACCTTACACACATGGATGATAGCAGCATTTTTCCGACTGTCCAGATTCTGCAAGGGTCAAACTGGCATCAACCATGACAAAAGTGTAACAAAACTCACGTTTTTTCATGCTTTTAAAAAATCACTTTTAGGAATGGTGGGCGGCTGTTTCACTTTGTACCAATGGCAGAGTTCAGGCAGCAAGTCAGGAGTTTTCAATTTAGTACTATTCCACTTAAACAAACAAACAAGAACCCTACAATCCAGCAGAAAAATCAAGGAGAATATCATTTACATGGATCCTTCAGATTTTGAAAACAATGTTTTTACAAGGTAGTTGATTTCCAAAGTGGATTAGCAGCAGGTGTCAGCTACCATCAAAATCTTTCCATTTAGCATTATGTGCCATTGCCCACTGATTACATAAAATGAACATACCAAATTCATTATTCCATTTACAGTGGTGCCCCGCATAGTGACGATAATCCATTCCGAAAAAATTGTCGCTATGTGGATTCGTCGCTATGCGGGTAAAAAAAGCCCATAAGAATGCATTAAAACACGTTTAATGTGTTCTTATGGGCATAAAACTCACCGTTATGCGGAAATCCTCCATGTGGCCGCCATTTTCACTGCCCGGTAAGCGAGGAATCCAGGCAAAAACACAACAGGCGGACATTTTTTTTACCCGGCGGACATTTTGGAAATGCCGATCAGCTGTTAAAAAAACATCGTGATGTGAAAATCGGTAAGCGAAACGCTTACCGATCATCACAATGCGATGTTTCACCATTAAAAAAATGTTGCTATGCAGATTCGTCATTAAATGGTGCGCTCGTTAAGCGAGGCACCACTGTATTCCTAATTCTCTGTGTCACAATAATTATGTGCCATCAGGTCAATTCTGACTTATTTATGGTCACCCTTTCCAGAGTTTTCCAAGGTGTACTCAGATTTAACAGCAATGAATGGTGTTTAAAATGCAATGAGTAACTAATTGACCAGTATTCTGTTGCAAGCTATGCTGGCATAGCAGGAATGATGTCACTGGAGGCAGTGGCAGCAGGTTGTTGCTAATTAAAGAGTCGGTTCTTTGTTTTTAGGTTGTGCAAAACTTGAGTGCAGTGAGACAAAGTTGCATGCAACCCAAAACTGAATAGGACTCTTTAGTTAGTGACAGTCTGTCACTACCAATTACGTCATTTCCCACTGATCAGCGTATCTGCGCAACAGGATTTCAACCACTGGATTCAAAAATGAATGTTCTAGGTTTTGTTTTCACTGTGCACAGCCCTAATGGATTCTCTTATTCTTTACACTTACCATTCACTGGGGCACCAAACCGGCCAGTCATTACATCAAAAAAATTGCCAACGTTGGTTTCAACACTACTGAAGATAATTCCACTGTTCTGATTACTGAAGTGGGTTGCCATTGAAGCCATGAATGCAACCTATACAAATACAGGGTAAGTATAGACATCAGCTACCAAGCAGTAGAAAGACAAATTGGAAGACATGCTTGGAGTCAATCCATTCCGCATTCGTTTCTTCCCCAGTTTTGTTTGGGGTATATTTGCTTTAATTTCCTAGATGTACTTTTAGGACTTGGACCAGCTCTCAGCAAACTCCAGTGACAAAAATCTCATTGATTTACATATAGACAGAGAGCTGTTCATATACGGAAAGGAGAGAATACAGATGTACGCTTGAAGGGTAAATGTCTCAGTTGGAGATTACACTTTAACACAAGAACTACTGTAGTCAAGTTGCACTTCAAACACTGAGCAGTTCTGAGGAAATAACTTCCTTTCTGTGCCAGTTATGCAGCTGTGAACTTGAAGGTGGGGAGACTGAAGTTTACTCTTCAGTTTTGTGCAAGTGTGAAATAAACCCAGAATACAAACACTGGAAACAGACTTTACTTTTCATTTAACTAGAAAAGTTCTCTGTTTTATGGTTTGGAACTATGTAGTACCTTGACCCACCAGTCTTCAAAAAAAGAGAAAGAAATCAGAGAGGAAAGCTGCAATTCTGTGCACATTTTTATAGGCCTACGTGGGACTTACTTCCAAGTAAGCATGTATTGCCTTCAGTTGGGCTGGGATTGAGGCTTCAATGCATAATACTCTGCTTGCATTTACTTTATTTGCCTGATTTATAAATGTTTCAGATTTCTTTCTTTCTTTCTTTCTTTCTTTCTTTCTTTCTTTCTTTCTTTCTTTCTTTCTTTCTTTCTTTCTTTCTTTCTTGTGCATGGAGATTTGTATGCAAACTCAAGCAGTAGTGACCTACCTCGCAGTATTCTTGATTAATTCATCAGGACTTAATGACTACTTATCCCCATTTGAATAATACTATAAAGCTCATTATGGAGAGACTGCAAAATATGTTGAAATATTTAACTCTACATGGGCAGGATATAAATAAAATAAATCAATAAAATAATATTTTAGCTGTGACAAATTAATTGAGCAAAATCATTATTGGATCTATATATTTCTTTCACTATTTCAGTACTCTGTATATGTGTTATTGAGAAGCAGAAGCAGTGGAGGGAGACTGTTGGTGGGCAACCTGTTAGTCACTGTATAAACAGAATGCTGGACGAGACGAATGTTTGCTTTGACCAGCAGGACTGTTTTTATGTTCTAATGTTTCTGTCATAACATGGTGTGAGACAATCCAACACTAAAGATGGGAACAAACTGCTTCCTTGCCCCGGCTCCTCCAGGCGCTGTCTCTCAATGGACGCCTGCTGGAGGAGGGGGCCTAGGAACTGCCAAACATCTGGCACAAACCATCAAACTGGCAGTTCATGCTCCTCTCTATCTAGCACCTCTTAAGATCAGTTCAAGGAGTTTTTAAAAAATACTAGCTATTTTCACAAGCACTTTTTCCAGTTCTTAATGTAGAATAAGTACAAGGTTCAATGTCTTGTTGTTGCTTTCTTCTCCAACTCTATCTGCTTCTAAAATATCAACCTGGGTGAACACTGATTAATACAGGAAGTGAATCAGAAGGTTTACCTCCCAGCAACACAAAACAGTCCTGAGAAGATTTGTGGAAACTGAGACTGTGACTACAATGGCAGGTATTAGAGGCATCAGTTTGATTCACAGTCCCTTTTGTGACTGCATTTGGTTTAGGTGGCCACACAAAGAACCCAGGTTGTTTCACTGCCAGTGTCCATAAAGGCCCCTAAATTCAATGCAGTTTAGTCCATGACCATAGCCTCCCTTCCTTGGATGTTGCCCTCTTGCCAATCCTTGGCTTACCACTAATTGAAGAAAGCTAAAAAGGAGTGGACCTTAACTTTGAACCAGAGTGGTACTTGTTTGGAATCCAACTTCCAAGGCCCCCATAGTAACCATGCTCACTGAGGTGATTCTGGAAGTTGTAATCCAAACAAATAGCACTATGGTTCAAAATTAAGGTTCACCTGCCCAATTCACTCCTTTTTAGCTGTCTGCAATTAGTGGTTCTTCGTGGGTCTCCTGGGGAAAAAAAAAACAAAGCTTCAGGCCGGCCTGCTCTGGGTCTAAACTTTTCAGAATATAAAATCTGACTGTATTTTTAATTATGTATTTGCATATTCATTTAATAATTAATTCATATTATGACATCTCACTTGATCACTAATGTATGACAGGGGAATCTCCCCCACCTCATGATAGAAATCATGAATTTTTAAGAATTTTACCTGAAGTTCTGGTGGGATGCCAGGGTAACCCTTCTCTCCTTTGGGTCCATGGTTGCCCCGCTCTCCTCGGGGTCCCATGTCCCCCTTGTCACCTTTGTCACCTTTTGTTCCTTCAACACCGGGTGCTCCATTATTTCCATTGTTTCCATGATTTCCTTAAATGAAGGAATGTATTGCTCACTAAAGAGACAAGCTTAAATGGATGGTCTCCTTCAAATTTATTTTCTGTTTTTCAGTCTACAACATGTTAGGTGATTCTAATATTCTTCAAATCACATATTACTTTGCACAATAGAAGGCCCATATATAACTTCTAAAATGTCGGAAAATGTGTGTGGCATAAAAAAGAGGCTATAGAGTTGGAATGCCAGTTTTAAGGGTCTGAAGGGAAAGTAAGTGAATATTACCTGGAAAATAAATGAAAGAAATAACTTCCAGGTAGGCAATCTGCAAATGGTATTGGTAGAAGTGAAAGTGTTGTCATAACCAAATATGCAATAGTGATAATAGTAATACTCTTAGCTGAATACTCTTGTTTCTAATCATCAGAATATTCTAGAGTCTAGACCTTCAGGATTACATAACTTTTTAAATTCACTAGGCCTCACATAAGGGACGTGGTGGCACTGTGGGCTAAACCGCAGAAGCCTGTGCTGCAGGGTCAGAAGACCAGCAGTCGTAAGATCGAATCCACACGACAGAGTGAGCGCCCGTCGCTTTGTCCCAGCAACTCGCCAACATAGCAGTTCGAAAGTATGTAAATGCGAGTACATAAATAGGTACCATCTCGTTGGGAAGGTAAAACGGCGTTCCCTAGTCATGCTGGCCACATGACAATGGAAAACTGTCTTCGGACAGGCGCTGGCTCCACGGCTTGAAAAGCAGGATGAGCACCACCCCCTAAAGTCGGACACAACTGGACTGAAAATGTCAAGGGGAACCTTTACCTTTTAGGCCTTACACAATAGTGTGTTTTAGTTGCAACATTGACCTGTGCTGGCACAGTAGGCCTCAGTCCAGATATAGTGACCTGTAGAATGGATTAAGAACAGGGGCAGGGTGTGGGCACACCCCGAAATGTCTGGATTTGCCCCAGAGCCTTGATAGCCCTACAGAAGTCTGTGAGGAACAAAATCGGCTATCTTCTATAGATACAAACTGAGCCAACATAATCTTCAACAGCCTCTCCGTACTCAGGAATTAAGTGGCATATTGCATTTTCCAGAATAAAATTATCTTTTAACCCATAGCTTTTGAAGAGACTATAATAATTGACTACAGTAAATTACTAGTTACAAAACTGAAACCAAATTGTTAACCTCCAAATTATATAAAGCATATAAAAGCTGAATTTGTTTAGAATTGATTGGTGGAACTAGAAACATTATCTTCAGCTGTGTGTTCTATAAAGTATATAATTTATTGTCTGAAAAAACAATTCTGTGTTATGAAGTTAAATGGAAGAGATCCTACTCATTGGTTTTTAAGTCAATACTCCAAATAAGATAAAAATATTGAAGCATTCTTTATTAGGATGCCAAACCCTCATAGCTGTGTTCTAAAATTACTGTACAACATGCACACATATGTATTACAGACCTTAATGCACATTTTGTGCTTTTATGTGACTGAAATCTTATACCTTACTTTTATCGAATAAAGGCTTTGGTGAGTAGATCATATAATAAAGTCTATTCATCAGTGTGGGCTTATGTCAAAATAACCATGCTATTTGTACATTTTTGCCATCCAAAGCTGCTTATAAAAGCATTTTATATAGCGATGTCATACTTCTATTACTGGAAATTGCTATTATTAGAATACTGCCAAAAAAAACTAAAGAAACTGTGCTGTGTTATATGGACAGGATGTTGGAACCACTGCTGCTGCCAACGACTTGCAGGGGAAAAAAGACAGAACAGTCTCTTATTACAAAGAACATGGTTGCTACTTCCATGTTGTGTAAGTACACACTGGCTAAAATCCTATTGAGTTTCTGTATTGGTGTAACACAGCAGACGTAAATCTCAGCAGTGAATTTCCACAAGGTAAGAAGTGAGTATTGGCATTTGTCAATTGTGCACAAGCAAAAGCCTATGCCAGCTTCATAACTTGCAGCAATTTATTACCAAGACTGATGGCAACTTCTTTATGTCAGTGGGTATAACTGAAGCGTGGAAAGCTATTTTGAGACCACATCTGTATATCATGAAGAAACTACATACTGTACTAGAATTCTCTGAGTCCCTTTGACGAGATGCATCTGATGCAAAAGACTGAGGGAGTGAACTGAGGGGGAAAAGAAAACAAGCAAGGATGAGGACTATCACTGTGCAGGATCTTCAGATGCTTTGGTCCCTCAGGCACAGCACAGACTGCAGCTCCCAGAATCCTCCAGGCAGCACAGCCACTAGCAATGCTAGCTGAATGACTGTGGGAATTTGTTAATCTCAACAAGTAATTTTTTCAAGCTCTGCACTTAGGGCAGCAATACGCATACCTGCAAAGATGTTGGTGAGGTGACTGACTCCAGTCACCCGATACATCTTGTCCCCTATATAGAACAGCCAGCACCCTGACACAGAATAATGATGTGGTGGGTTTTTCTTTTATTTACCTGGCATTCCAGGAGGACCTGGGGGGCCCTGATAAGTTCGGTATCCAAAATCCCCTCTACAACCACATTCAGGTGGGCTTTGAGGTCCACTCTGTGTAGTCTGTTAAGATAATGCAAAAGTAAAAACAGTTCATTGAGCATGCCTGCTGTTGTACATAATTATATTAGTATAATGGCTAAGAAAGTAATATATGACATAAGATCCTGTGTGTATAACAGATACCACTATGATACAGTGTTGTGCTAACTTCAGAGCTTAGAAGAATCACCTTTTTGGCTGGGGGATTCAGAATGTGTGATTGCAGGAAGTTATAGCCCTCAAAAATAATTCTTCTAAACTCCGAACTAATGGAGTAATAATTGTTTAGCCTTGTCTTGCTGAGACCCAGTTGTTCTGTAGTCTGCTAGCTACTGTGTTTCCCCCAAAATAGGACAGGGTCTTATATTAAATTTTGCTCCAAAAAAACACATTAGGGCTAATTTTCAGGGGATGTTTTATTTTATAGTCTGGTTGCTGCACAATGCTGCACAATGGTGGAGGGCGGGGCTTCACTTAACTAGGGCTTATTTTTGGGGTAGGGCTTATATTACGAGCATCCTGAAAAATCGTACTGGGGCTTATTTTCAAGTTAGGTCTTATTTTTGGGGAAACAGGGTAATAAAGAACCTCCTCTTCTTAGAAAATCTACAAACGTTTTGTTCAAAAACTTCATAAAAATCAATTTCCCTGCTGGAGTGTTATTTCTAGAGTTACTTTTCTGCTTCACAAACAAACATACAAAAAACCAACAACTTGTGAGCTAATTAAAAGCTTCCAACCAGGAGACTTGTAGGTTTTCATTGAATTGCCACAGCTCTAGACTCTGCCCTCCCAAGAGAAATCCATGAACAATATAAACCTTGTATTCAGTGGAGACAAACAAAAATCACAGAAAAGCATGCAAAGATATTGAATATATCAAATCAAGGTATCATCTGGACAGTAGGAAAAACAAACCAGCTGTTCAGAATCTGATTCTTCTCCAGATGCTCTTGCCCTGCCTGAAAGAGCCCTAATTTATACTTTTATATCCTCTTCCCACAGGTTAACTGACTTTTAGAATAACCAGAAAGATGTCACTAATTAGTTTTATGTCTCATTCAACTGTTATTCTGAACTTCAGAAAAATAACATTTCTACCCTGTCTTATTGACATGCAGTACAGAACATTTTTATTTTAACAGATGCCATTTCCTTTTGAGGTAAGACTGGATTCAACAGTCAACAGAATTTTTTTTTCCAGAAGTGCCCTCTCACATACTGCAGTTTCTGGAATTCATTGAGGAGCTTGGTCCTTTTAGGGGTTCGTTTGTTTTTTAAATTAAGAACTTTCTTTTCAAGGGGTCTTTTAATACTGAATTTTTAAATAATTGCTAAGATATCTGAAGCAGTATACTTTAATTTCTGTGCCTGCATGATAAATGTTTAGTATTATTCCATCACTATTGTGGTTTTTATTGTTCCAAATTGCATTGCATGTTTTATTGTTCCCTTTTTTGAGGATTTTGGTAATGTATTGACTGGACTATACTTTTTAAAAATAATTATTTAAATAATGGTTCAAATACATAATCAGTAGCTCACTATCTCAAACAATACATTACCCCTTTTCATGTTGATCTGCTCAACCAAAATGAATTTTGTAAGTTTAAGCCCATTTCAGTTGGGCTAATTATCTTGAAATCGTATGATTAGTACTGACAGTAAATTTAGTAAATCACAATCTTCATTTAATGTACTAATTCAACAATATTCATTGTTTTAAAATCACCATGTAACAGTCCCTTTGCTTTTCCTCACCATTCTTACAATGCAATTCTATACATGTTCACTCATATTTTAGCCTTACTGATATATACACATTATATAGCACACAAAATGCAGTGCAAAATCCTAAAAGGACAGAGGGATCCATCTGTTCTCCAGTGTTATATTCATTTGTTCATGCCTGACATTTTGCTTGATGAAAAAATCTTTATAATTCATAGTTTGCACATAGTTTAACACATATAACACATAGTTTGCATAGTGCTTTATGAACAGAATTTGGTCCAATACACAGTAATAACCTAACTTCCTTCTTTTTTAAAAAAAATGCATTATTCTACACAATATTAAGAAAATCCCATTGACTTCAGTGAGACTAGAAGTTCTTAACATTGACTGGATTTGCACCATTAATTTGCAAACCTAATCACAGATATAGGCAGCGATTGCTTGGGATTTGTTAAGATTATTTCCAAGTAAACATGCATAAAATTGGGCTCATATCTAGACCAATGCATAACCGGGGGGGGGGAGTCAAAGTATCTAATTGCATGCAGACCTCCCACCTACAGCTTATAGAACTTGATACACTAATTTATTATAAACATTCTATCTTAGTGTAATTCTGGAAAAGAACATGTTTATAACATAGCCAAAGTGTCTATCTATAATTTTTTCATAACTTTTCCTCAAACAAGGACTAGCTGTCTTATGTAGGAAAGCAAAATCTCATCAATTTTCTAAAGGTCGTCTTAGAAGATGAATTCAGAGTACCTGGACTCTATTTGAGGTAGCTTGTGCTACATCATCTACCTCTAGTTTCAAGGCATTTTGGTCAGTAGAAGGACTATTACCATCATCATCATCCTCAACCGTCCACTCAACAAGCCGACTCCGCTGTCTCAATAATTCCCTGCTGCTGGAACCTTTGTGGCCAGTCTGATGGTGACTTTGCAATACTTTTGCCACCGGATTGCTAGATCTTCTGCTCACCTCCATGTATTCATCTTGGCACAAACAAAAGCGAAGAAACAGAAGAAAAGCCAGAAGACACGAATAGGAGAAATCCTTGCAGGCCATTTTACTCAAAAACATAGCAAGATTTCAGGAATTCAAATGCCTTTTACAAGGGCAAGGTCTGCCAGTGCTGTGATGTGGTCTTTTCAAGAGATTCTCCACCACTAAGCTTGGCAATAAGACCTGGTAACCACAGTTTTATATGCTGCATGCAATAAATTATACTGTGAAAATGTCAGAGTGGCAGGAACCTCCTTCTCAAACTGGTCATGCTTTCTTAAACAACCCAGTCATTATTCACTATGATCTCCAACTGCAAGGAAAACTGATTTGTACGCTGGAAATGATCTCTCCAGTTAATATACAGCTGCAGTTCCTGTTTGGGAGGCAATGACAAACATCATTCTCTTTTTCTTTTCTTTTTTCTGGCATGTTTTCATTCCGATCTGAATGAAAACATGTGGCAAATGTTTCATGCTACTTGATTGGACATGGAAATATTGGGAATTAAGACTCTGAAGGGATCTTCTGGGGGTTGGATACAATCCTGATTTTTGTCATTCTTCTACACAGAGAAGGGGAATAGCACCTCATTTTCGTCGCGTTCAAGAAATAAAACGAGAGAGAATATTTTTACTCGTGATTTTGACTTGAAGGTTGTTTCATTCATACTTACACTTCCTCTCTTTAGAGAAAACAAATATTTGCTAGGAGACTGGAAATACAGGCCGAAAACAGCCCATTTAGTTCAAGCTTATGCTCAGTTCCAGTTCTCAATGCATACTTTGAGCTTTCTAGTCAAATATCTCCCCTATACACACATTTCTAATTTTCAGTGTTTTCTTAAAGGCTGTTGCCAAACCAAATTCAATTTTCCTGCCAACTAAAGATAAATGACTGTGAACTCAAGGAGCATGCTTCAGTCTTATAAATGATCATGCCTTTGTAAAATTATCCAGGATAACTTTTGAATTATCTGCATACAAAAATCTAGGTATTAAAAATACAAGAGACAAGTTCGTAGATACAAAATTCCATATTGAGGTTATTTTACTAAATAGGGCTGGAGCTAATCAACCAAGAAAATAATGTGATTGTTTTTAGTTTTCATGTATTTTTATGGAATTACGGTACACACAAATGTAATGGGGAAAGAATAGCATTGCAGAATAATGCCAGTGCTCAAACTGCAATTCTGGACGATACATCCCTAAAATCATATGTTATGGAGAGTCAGGGATATAGTCAGAGGTGACCAGATTTGCTCATGACACAATGATCACTCAGGGAGATTTTTAAAAAGTGGGATTTGGAAAGAACTCTAGAAGAATCTCTCCCAAATAGGGCATGGGCAAGAGAATAGCAAGTACTGTTTAATTCAAGTAAGACTTAACCTAGGTGTGTCTTTTTTCCAGGAATATAGTTTAGTGTTACGGTGCTTCTCAGCTGAAGTTCATGTCCACTTCATGCTTTCAGGAAGCATGCCAAAACAAAACTACAAAACCAGCTTTAGCAGTAAAGTTCCACTATGGATCTGAATTTCTTTAATTTTTTGAGAAAGATTCTTAAGGATCACCTAAATAGCAGCATGTAATGGGCTTGTTTGGATATGAACCATGGTAAACTGTGTCTTGTCTGGAACCAAGCAGGGGAGGAAAAGCGGGAAGAGGGTTCTGTCTGGAAGAGGTCTAGGCTTAAGGGAAGTGCTTTGGTGGCAAAGGAAGGAAGGAAGTTGAGTAAATATAAACAGTTGGTGATTGACCAGGAAAGGATTCTTGGAGTAATGGTGGATGGTATTGTATTCGCGAAGGCTTTCACGGCCGGGATCTAATGGTTGTTGTGGGCCCTACAGGCAAATGGCTACTCCAAAAATGAAATCACAAGAGCCATCAAACCAAGAAAACAGCACCGAACTGAAGAAGAAAAACAGCCACCCACAAATAAAGTATTTCTGCCATACATCAAAGGGGTCACGGACCGCATGGGGAAACTTTTGAAAAAACACAACCTACAAACAGTATTCAAGTCCACCACAAAAATACAACAAATGTTACGGACAGAAGGGACCCCCCTCACCACTGCAGGAGTATACCGGATACCTTGCAGTTGTGGCCAGGTATACATTGGAACCACAAAACGAAGCATCCACACCAGAATCAAAGAACATGAGAGACACTGCAGACTAAAACAACCAGAAAAATCAGCAGTAGCTGAACATGCCCTAAAACAAACTGGACATGAAATTCTATTTCAAAATACCAAAATACTGGACAACACCAGCAATCATTACGTCAGACTGCACAGGGAAGCCATTGAAATCCACAAGCACCAGCAGAACGTCAACAAAAAAGAGGAAAGTTTGAAACTCAACAAAACTTGACTCTCAGCTCTCAAAAATACAGCGTGCAAAAGATCAACGAACTCTACCCAGCCATAAGGACCGGGGATCACTATACACAAAAGACCAGCTAATGACACCCATCAACCACAGTGACAGATAATCTTTCCTTCTTATAACAACAATACACCCACAACAAGACACACTAATCACCCATCTACAGAAAAAGACAAAAACCCATCTCACCGCCATGAATACTCCAATTTAGCAATTGGAGAAGGCTATTTACTCTCATGTCCTGCTCATGGGTTTTTTTAGTGGGGCAATTGTTTGGTCACTTTGGGAAAGAGGATGCTGGATCTCTTTATTTAGCAGGGTTTGTTCTACTTTTTTCTTGTTTTTAAGCTGAATTTCTCCTCAAATAGTATGAAGTATTATAGTAACAGATTGAAGAATTTGATGGCATCCCATTATTGGATGTTTTTTCTTTACTAAATACCAAATTATCTTGGTAGCCCAAAGGAATGAAAACTGGGGACTCCACAGAATTATGAGTAATTCAGAGAAACCATTAAATCTGCTTGGCATGGAGTTAATTTGCTTCAGTAAATATTGGGACAACAGTGCTGTTTTCAGCTGGTGGTAGAGATTTCAGATCTTGCCAAATGCTGTTCTGGAGTTTCCTGTGGCATTAAAGTTCAAAAATGTTTCCAGATGACTAATGACCATTTACAGTACACATGGACTGGAAAGAGCAATGATAAACCCAGAAGAGGCATGGTTTCATGGTTTTGTTGCCTGTGCAAAAACTGAAATAAGCATACAGTCATTCTAACCAAAATAGTAGTTTGGTCTTCCTTCTAATTACATTCACCACGCCTAAACCTTTTAAGTACCATCATTCAGCTTTGTTAACATTTTGGTTCTTTGTCAATAAACAAATGATAATGTAACGCTTAAACGTAATGAATGTAAGTTCTTCCTACTGCAAAGCTACATGGTCTTGTCTAGTGAAAGGATGATAAAATCACCAGATATCCAGGCCAATGTCCTACTAAAAGAAGGCAGAGTGTTAACATTCCACCTTCAATGTTCTCTGATCTCTGGTTTGCTGTTGCAAAAGCTGAACACCACGCCTTTGTTTTCAGTGGGGCTTACGCTTGGCTTAGGAAGCATGAGATACCTCCTATTAGGAGTTTTGAAAGAGCTCCACCACTCACCTAATGGAGTGTCACATGTTTAGAACAAGAATAGGAAACCTGGTATTTTATCTGCCCATTTATTTTATGATTATGGGTAAAACTCCTTTCATTGGGCTTTCTCATACCCTTACAGCTTTCTTCTATCCATTTATTTCTCTGACTCTCTAGCAAATTTTTTTCTCCCCCACTTTCTCCAGTTACTGCAGTGGGTGCGTCCTGACTACCTTGCGAGCTGGTATATATGAAACCACCCTTAACATGTTTCATCTTACTCCAATCATGTCTATCAGCTGTAGACCTCTCTAAGTGTTCATGGGTCAGTTGATTAAGGTTCTTATTTAATTTTTCTGTATACTTATTGCAATTATCATTTTTCTTCTTTTCTTCATTATTGGGCTTGTCATTAAAGTTTTTCACTAAGTTTTCTTTAATTATTCTCGCTACTTCAGGTCTCATCTTTAACTCAGTATCTCTCTCATATCCCTTTTCCACTCTTTTCTCTCTACTCAAAAGTGATATCCATTTGTTTGTGGATAGTTTTATCTATAAAGACTCTTTTAGGGAATTCTGGAATTACTGGTTCTTCCTTGACTGTTGCAGAGTATAATCATTTTCTTGTTCTTGTTTAAAACTCCTTTTCTGAGACTTTATTATATCTACACCTCCTGCAAGTTCAGGTGATTGACTGACACTTACATCTTCCTCAGGAACCTCACTATTACCATAAAGATTTTCTATCTTTTCTGTCTGTGAGTGTGTGGTGATCATAACACCCTTGATATAATTAATCAAATCTAAACCAATTAAACAAGGCGTATGGATCTGATCTGAAACCGCTATTTTAAATTTACCAGCCCACCCTTGGTAATTTATATGTACTTCAGCTACTGGTAGCTTAATCACTTCTGTCCCAATTCCTTTAACTGAATTTTTTTCATTTTGAATGAAATCTTCCTGTGGAATAATATCTGTATGGCATATAGTTATCTGAGAACGAGAGTCTCTCAGTGCTAGATATTTGATGTTATTAATGTAAATATTTTCTCCAGATGACTTCATCAATTCCCTGTTGGTTTCCATGTAATAACAGTGGACAATTTCTGCTAGAGGAAGCAGTTGCTCCTGCCTTACAGTTTTGTCAGTTAAATCACCACCATCTTGGCTTACTTTAGAATCCTCATCCTGCTTTTGGATATAGTACATCTTTTTAGGTACAACTCCCCCTGTTTTCTGTTGTCC